GATGGTGTGATCCTGGCTGTCAGGGACTGTGGACATGATGAGGGAGCGAGTCCCCGCTGTGTCAGGGGCGGGAGCAGAGGATATCCGTCTGAGTCAGGGACTGGATCCAAACTCACATCCAATAACAAAGCAGAAAAAGTGCTTCAAATAATTGTAGGAGAGACACAAAGAGGGACAGAGAGAGAGACACAGACACAGAGAGACACACACACAGACAGAGAGACACACACAGAGAGAGATATACGCACATAGAATTATTATTTTTATTATTATTATCCTTGCATTTGATATAGCGCTTTTCACGTCTTCCAAAATGTCTCAAGGCGCTTCACGGAATATACTGTAAAGTTATATTTAATAATAAGAGAATAAGACAGACACTCGAACAATCAATTATGCGCAGGTTACGAAAGTTTGTTCCTGTGTTTGTAGTGACAACATTTTGTATATAACACTGACTGTAACTGTGTGCGCGCGCGCGCGTTTGTTACGTGTAATCGACTAATTGATTAGTGTAAGATACAAACAGACACAGTGTAAGGCAGAGAGACACAAACAGTTGTGAAGAGACAGACAGACTGAATAAGACAGAGAGAAACGGGGAGTAAGCCAGAGACAGACAGAAGCGCTGACAAGAGGAAGACACACAGACAGATGAAAAGACAGAGGAAGAGAATAAGACAAAGAGAAAGAGTGAAACACACACATACACAGAGTGAGAAGAGGGAATACAGTTTCGTGGAATAACCACTTTCATAATATATCCTGCGAAGTGTTTTGGGACGCGCTGACATGAAAGGCGTTGTATGCAGCCAAAATGTTTGATATTCTTCATTGCAATCATGTCAATCTGGCAGCTCCCACCGCTTCAGTTCTCAGCTTCCATGCAATCAGGGCTGACTCTCTGCTCCCCTCTGACCTCGCCTCCACCACTGAGCGGCCTCCAGGAAGGCGGCTTTCCTTTCCTTTCCTGCCCTGGGAGCACTGGCTGTGTGATGGGGGAGTTGGTTACAGCGACCACACCGATCCCTTTACGCACAATGTACAACAATATTTACTCACTGCGATAAACACGCAGCCACGACTGGACTCGGTTCAAAATATACTTTCCAATAATTCCATTTGGGTTTTGGAAAGAGTTGCTCACATCAGCTCAGAACAAGGACCGTCCAAAGGGCAATTTAATAATAATCCTTGCATTTGATATAGCGCCTTATCACGTCATCGAGACGCTTCACAGAATTTATTGTACAGTGAATTGACTGTATATTTTGTGGGAGCCACCCCTCCACTCACAGCAAACAAAAAGAGGACAGACTCTCGATGAACACAAACGCAGGAATAACTGAGAGTAATTTCTTTAGTGCAGTGACCATGTGTTTGTTGGCAAACTACGTCAACCCCTTTTCTTCTCCCCCCCCATCCCAGCACAAGGTGCTATGGGGTGGTGGGCGGGGGGTACAATGGTAAGCTACGCGTTTTTAACTGGTGAGACTCCAGCAGTTACCCCCAACGCACACTCTGGGATCCCAAGCATTGGCTCTTACCAACCTGCACCTAATACTCTCTGGAATTAGCAGGATGTGTCTCTCCAGGGAGAGAGTGCACATTCCATTCCAATAAACATCTCTGGCACTCTGGAACACTACCCTGCATGAGGGGTGCTATGTAAATGCAAGTTGTTGTTGAGATGGGATACATGGAACTCTGGTTCAGCTCCTCTTAAACACAGTGATGTGTTTCTGCGTGTGTCAGACACCCGACTGACTAAAAACAGCAACACATCCCAGTGCTGTTCCAACATCCGGCTACTCAGGAGGCAACACCATCTGTTTCTGTGCTTCCTCTGCACTTCTGCTCCAGGGAATAGTTAACATCCGACGTGCAGAATGCATATTGTCTCCACACAGCCTCCTCCAGCGCCTGTCTCAGACTCAATCACCAGGTGTCAAGTACTCCAGCACGGGTAGCAAAACAACACATCCCTTGCGCGGTGGCTTTCAGTTCAGCGCAACCCCAACTGTAGCCCAACCCTGTGGCCTGTGTCCTTCCTGACCATCCAATAGTGACTCAGGCTGGGGTGTCTGTGACCTCCACAGCTCCCCGGCCCCGGGATCAGCAACAGGAAGCGCTCGTTTAATAATAATAAACCATGCATTTGATATGCCTTATCATGTCGTTGAGATGTCTCAAAGGGCTTTAGAGTTTTCTGTAAAGTGGATTGACTGTGTATTTTGTGGGCAAAATGCGGCAGCCAATTGCATACAGCCGCGGATTGAATGAGGGATGATTACCCCAGGAAAGCAATCCCCCAATCGACTAACAACTGGGACCCTACTTACTGCTGGATAAACAGAGGTGTGTGTGTGTGATGTATATTTATTTTGGTATGGGGAAAAGGCAGTGAAATGGGATTAAAAGATTTCCCAATAAATGAAGGGAGGAGGTTTGATAGTTCAATAAACTACAGCTGCTGGTGACCAGGGCCGTCTCTCATGTAATCTCAGTAACTGTTCTGTTTCCTGGCCGGGAAGGTATTAGATTTGCAATACCGGGAACACCCTGCGGAGTCACCACTCCTATCACCAGCTGCCAATTCTGAGGTTTGAACCTCGAGGTAAAACCTGGCATTAAAATAATAATAATCCTTGCATTTGAAATAGCGCCTGATTACATTGTCCAAGCCATCTCAAAGCGCTTCACAGGATTTCACTGTGAATGGTAGTGACTGTATTGTGTAGGCAGCGAATTTGACCACGGCAACGTTCCATAGAAAGCCACGGAGGGAATGCACCATTTTTATTTGGGAGATCATTGGCCAGGATACCGGGAGAGAGACTCGCTGCCTTCCTTCTCTTGGGGAAGAACGGACACAAATCGGTTTCAACACAGGGTGGGGACGCGGAGAAAAGGGAGAGACAGCGCATTGGAAGCTACACAGGAATGTTCATAGGAAAATAATAATCCTTGCAATTGACATAGCGGCTCATCACATCGTTGAGATGCCTCAAAACCCTTCACAGAATATACTGTAAAGTGAATTAACTGTATATTTTGTGGCCGAAGAGCAGCAGCCAATTGCACACAGCAGTGAGTGTCCCACAGTCGTGGATTGAGTGACTAAATAATTTTTTTTTAATTGATGGATAGATAGTCACAAGAGCTCAGAGAGGCCGACAAGTCTGTCCGTGGTGAGGGAAGGTGGAGCTGGGGAAGATGCCCTCCCTTCGTTGCTCACTTTTCTTCCCAAAGACGACGGTGGTGGGTAAAGTGGTTCTGGAGCTCTGTGTGTGTGCGGGGCTGTGCGTTGTGACTCTGATGTGGGAAAACGGTTTGTTTTGTACAATGTTTATTCATTCGTGGAGTTAGGACATGTTTTTAAACTTTTTTTGTTTAAATATCACACAACAAATGCAATCGGATGACGAAACAACAGCTCAGAGGTGGGGGTGGGGGGTGGGAGTAGCTCTCGTGTCCTTCCCTTCCCCACACGCCAGCGCCTCACCAGACTTCGAGCACAAGCTCAGGGAGGGACCTGCCAAGACACAAGCGCGGACTTTACACACTGCTCCGCTCGCAGTAAAACACGTAAAAACAATTGTCAAAAAAGATAACTCACTCCCCGCTCTACAGCATATGGGGGGGGGGGCTGCCTCACTTTGGGAGACGGTTTCACAGCCCACCATCCCCCCACCCCCACACTGTATGAGCCCCAGCCAGTCAGTGTCGGTCGAGAACAGTAAAACTCACAAAAGTCGTATCAATTGGGACCATAACATTTAATATAACTTATGCAAAGTTATGCAGGAAAACTGAATAGATTGTAGAAAATCGGATTTAATCAATAACCTGCGCTGCGAGTGTGTAATTTAATGCAGCCGGCAAGTGTGAATGCGGTGATGGGTCAGGACTTCATTTCCCGCGAGTGAAAGTAGACGGTAAGTACGAGAGTAATGGAGGGTAGGGGAGTGACTTTATGAGTTAGGAGGTTATTTAATACATCAAGTGCAAAGAAATCTAAGTGATTCTGATGGGAAACTGAACGAGACTCGTGTGAATGTACGACTTAGAGAATTATACGATTTATAAAGATCAGACTTGTGCCAGTTTTACTGCATTAAAACCTCAGGAGCCACCAGTCCAGATTGTGTCTAATGCCAACACAGAAAGTTTCCAGCATAGGGCAGCACTGGAGAGAGAGAGCTGCACTCTTCTCTTCCAACAAGATTCTCACACTGACTGGGCAGAATGGCTGGATTGTGATTGGCAATAAAAAAACACAAGCACAAAAGTGCATAGCTTTCCTTCCTCCCTCGCCAGGAACGTCAGGAAAATGACCAGATGGGACCACTCTACGATCCTCACTTCCCGGACACTTACTCTCTTCCTGGGAGGGATTTATTCGTAGATGTCTCTCTTGTCTGCGATGTAAGTGACGATCTCCTGCGGTGACATTAGCTTCTCTGCCTCAGCATCGGGAATCTCGAACCCTGCCACAGGAACAGAAGAGACCGTCACAGCAGCTGTGATCGCTCATAGGCCCTGGTGCCCCCCACCACACCATTCCCCTTCTCTGGCAGGATCCATGGAAGCTGGATTGAGAGAGAAACATGTGACAATGGGAAGGCATTGAGGTTGGGGCCTCAATGTACCAGCTACCAGCCCATAAATTAGAGCAACGCTGCCCAAGTTACTAACAAGCACAAGTGCACAACACAGGTCATTCAGTCAGTCAACTCTGCACCAGAGACTGTGGGCTCATGCTTCTGTCCCAAGTAGCAATTAGTCACATGATCAGCCTATCAGAATACCCCTGGGGTTAAACCCGTTCCCACAGAGATCCCAAAACATCTGCCTCCAGATCAGGATTCACTTTGTTTCTAATCGATCTCATTCTGGACAGCTCACTGCACCTGTCCAACACATAATAATAATAATCCTTGCATTTGATACAGCGCTTTATCACGCCATTGAGACGTCTCAAAACATTTCGCAGGATGTATTGTAAATTGGGAGTGACTGTGTGTTTGAGTTGTTGAAGGTTGACAGACTGTCTGGGGCCAGGTGTGAGCCCCAGCAGGTAAGGCAGCTTCAGGGCACAAGCTCTCAGTAACACTGTGTACTCGCTGCCTAGACACAAGCTGACTTACCAAACTCATCTTCCATGGCCATGATGATCTCCACTTGATCCAAACTGTCCAGCCCCAAATCTTTCATGAAATGAGATTCAACTGAGAGCTAAAAATACAAACAGCATAAAGACAGAGTTTCAGGAGAGAAAATCGCTTAATTACCCAGATTTTAACTTGTTTCTTTCTTCCTTTTGAGTTCATCCCA